TATTCCATTGTGTGAATATACCACAGCTTCTCTACCCATTCTTTTGTTGATGGGCACTTAGGTTGTTTCCAACTCCTTGCTACTGTGACTAAGGCTGCGATAAACATGGGTGTGCATATATCTACTTGGATGTCGTTTATGGTCTCTTTAGGGTATATTCCCAGTAGTGGTATTGCTGAGTCAAATGGTATCTCTATTTACAACTTTTTTGAGAAAGCGCCACACCGCTTTCCACAGTGGTTGCACCATTTTACACTCCTACCAACAGTGAATAAGGGTTCCAGGTGAGACCAAATTTTACCATCCTTGCTTTTAACTCTGGCTGCACTGGTTCCAAGGCAGATTTGGTTTTTTTCATTTGCTATCCCATGGTATAGTGAATATACCTTGCCAACATCACACAATTCCAAGACATCTGTTCTTCAGTTTTTCTTAGTCATTGTCCAGCTGACATATGCCCATCTCTCTCATTGTCATCAACTCAGAATCTACTTGTAGCTGACCTTCCAGCAGGTTTTCAGAGGCTGTAAATTGCATACGAGAAGATGGTTCATTTTCCTCCAGTGGAGCAACTGGTAACAGAAAGGCAAAATCTTTAGGTCAACAGCACAACTCTGTATGGACTGTACTACTGCCATCAGAGCGGCCAATATATGCATATGAGGTGATTGAAAATACTATGGCTTGAGTTGATTGTATCTTAGTCTTTGAAATGACATCCTTGGTCTTTTACACTTTAAAGAAGTTCTTTACAGCAGATTTGCCTATTACTTCACGAAAGAGAGACAATTGTCCCATTTAAAAAAAATATATGTGTATGCGGTGGGGAGGGGAGGGAATTAATCCTCAGATCTCAGTGTGCTCCTGTCCTTTAGGGGTTGGGGTGGCACAGATACCAGAGTGAAATTGCTCTTCATTGTCAAAATATCCCTAAAGGTAGAAAAACTAAAAATCATGTTAACTCATAGCCAGTTCTATGGATGTTCTTTCTGTCAATTTCCAGCTTCTTCTTCTGGGATATGTGTAGGAGGAGAAGGAGAAGTTGGGGGTCATAACAGCAGGATGGAACTTAGAGAAGGGTGCGGATAGCGGAGAGTGGGGATGGTAAGGAGGAAGGCTCCAGGAAGGAATAGATAGCATGCACTTGTATAAGCTGAAGTCTGTGTTTAAACCCCTTCCCTTCCTACTAACTGTTCATCCTGCTAAACCTCAAAGAAAAGGATCTCCTGTATATCCGATCGTTGGTCATGCTTTGGAAAATAAAGAAGAGACTCCATTTTTTTTTGTAATTAGACCTGGATAGAGCTAACAGGATACAGGAGGTCAGTCTGCAGCAGTTGGTCCCCACACTTCTTCTACTGCATCCTTTTCCCCTTCAGAAACATAGAGTCTGTCACCAGATTTGAGTCTCAGTAGTAGCTTTCTACTCCAACTACAACCATCTGGTTTCTACGCCCCCTTTCTTTTGCCTAGAGACAAGTTCAACTAATAAAAAGAAGAACGAGGGGGGGGGAATGAGGCAGCATGATTGCATGGCACTGTTTCCATGTATGCCATAGTACTTGCAAGAGGTGGGGGCCGAGGAAGAAGGCAGAAAAACAAGGGACTAAATGGGTCAAAAGAAAGATCAAGTTTGAAGGACTATAACTTGGAAACTCTCTCGGGGATTAAGTAAAAATTGTCATTTGCAGGTGCCCCTTAGCCCTCCCTGATACAAAATCCAAACCATTTCCCTGAGATGGGAGAAAAATAGCATCAATCCCAGAGCTGTCTCTCCCAGCAACAAATGCTGTAATCAGAATAGCAGCAGGCAGGCTTAGTTTCCTCACCTTCCCCCACATTTACAACAGTATGATTTACATTCCCAGGGCTGTATGACTGCCAAGTAGAAGGGTAAAGTGCCGTTGGAACTCTCAACCATAAGGAAACATTTTTTTGTTATCCAGATTCTGTCTTGGTACAATTCTGATAATGGGTTCTCTACAAGTGTATATCTTTAACCCAAGTTACACGCTGGATTCAACTCTTATGCAAGATCCACCTAATATTTCATGTTCTATCTCCATCGGTGTTAGAGGATTTATTTTTACTTATTTTTTTAAAAACAAGTTTGTTAGTTCAGAGTGACTTAGCCATAGTCATGCTTTTGCAAAACGATAATACAAGAAATTATAGTGGGACAAGAGATAAATACTTCCAACTGAGCTAACCTCTCACCAAAAGAGATACCGAGAGACAGGTTCCTCAAAGAGGGGTCAGCAATAAAAAAACAACCATATCTATGTGTATCTAATATACAGACATAGGGAAAACACAGTTAGATTCTGGGTTCTAAGAAGTCGGGGAGTTTTGAAAGGAGGGATAAAGTTAGTTTTGGTTTGGTGTCAAGAGATAAGATTGCATTACTATGAGAACTTGCTGAGCAAATTAGAGAATGGTTTGTTTCCTCTAAAAACAGGATGAAGTAGAATAGATTTGGAACATTTCTTTGCTCATTTCCTAAATATTTTTGAGAGTTTTAACATCATTTCCAGGTTATAAAGTTTATAAGTCTTAAAGTTTATATATTAGAGAGTCACCTCTTTAAGAAAAGAATTCAACATGTTAAATATAATCTAAATATTCTTAAATGAAACATATGAAAGCTCTCTTAATCTTAAATTCCACTCTCTTCAAGTAAGTTTATACATTTGTTAATGTGCTGGTGGGTACGAATGAAGTGACAGCTGACTTTCAAGCAGGTTTTCAGAGCTAAAAATCGCATGAGAAGAGATTGTTCATCTTCTTCCTGTAGCATCCTTGGTAGATTTTTATCCCCTTACCTACCACCCTAACTCCTTTTTCAGCTTTGGGATCTAGAATATATGCACAGAGACATGTACATACACTACCAGGGATATCATTGCTTATGTCAGATGGATCTTGACTGAAAGCAGAGAGTACCAGAAGACTATCTATTCGTGTGTTATTGATTATGCCAAAGCATTTGACTGTATGGATCATAACAATTGAGAAGACTGGGAATTCCAGAGCACTTAATTGTGCTTATGTGAATCATAGCTAGACCAAGAAGCTATTGTGTGAACAGAACAAGGGAGCATTGCATGGTTTAAAATCAAGAAAGACATGTGTCAGGGTTGTATCCTGTCTCTCTAGCTGTTCAATCTGTACACTGAACAAATCATTGGAAAAGCTGCACTTTAT